TGGCTTCCTTGATCGTGGTGACCTTTAGTTACCAATCCCTAGTAAGACATCTCAAAACTTTGTTAGTAGAAATTTCATTGGGAACCAGTTTTCCAAGTGTATTCAAACGATTAATGAGACAAGAAAATCTCCTTTGCATATCCGTAATGGTTTCACCATGTTTCATGCGAAAGAGCTCGAACTCTTGGTTCAATGTATTTACTCTATTTTTATTTAACTTCATTGGTTCCCCACGGGCAAGTTCCAATGTGTTCCACGTAGCTCTTGAGTTTCACAATGGGAGACACGATAAAACTCATCCAATCCAAGGGAGGACATGAGAATGTTTCGTACCTTCCAATCGTAACTTCACAATTCCTTTTCATCTTTACTCCATCGTGCTTCCAGTTTGGGTACGGTGACACCATCAATAACCTCGGTAATTACGTTTGTAACATTTTCAATGATATCTCATACACCCTTATTATAAGAATTGATATGAATGTGCATACAAGTCTTCCAATAACCATAGTTTTCACTGATGAATATTGGAGCTCTATTATACTCCCCTTTAGGTGTGTTTTCCATTTTCTAAAAAGTGTATTGGAAGCACACGGAATGAACCAGACTCTTGATGTCACTTTTAGATGATGTAAACTTATCTAGAAGAGGGTGAATATATACCCAATTCAAAATTGAGTTTAAAACAATTTTAAATAAAGTTAAAAACAATGGTAAGCGGAAGTCGTGTCCTAGATCAAAGTCGTCTAAACACACTCAATTATTGGAGCTCGGATATGCCTTCAATTAATTCAGGTTAAGTAAAGATGATAAGTGAGTAACACAGAAAATTCTCAATTAATTATCTGAACACAATCAATCAAGTAACATATTTCCAATGAAGTTGGAGGTAAAACTTATTTAGACAATTTATCGAACACTTAGTGTGCACTTTGATTTTCCAGAGTTTCCTTTGAATTTTATTGATGCTAAAACCTCTTATAATCAAAGGAATTGTAAGAACGGCAACAAACTGATTTAAACTTTCAAAGAATATTTCTAACCCAATCAATTTGCACAGTCAAAAGTATAATAAATTGCTAACAAAATATAAAAAAGATAGAGCGAGATAGATAGATAGATAGATAGATAGATAGATAGATAGATAGATAGATAGATAGATAGATAGATAGATATATAGATAGATAGATAGATAGATAGATAGAGAGAGAGAGAGAGAGAGAGAGAGAGAGAGAGAGAGAGAGAGAGAGAGAGAGAGAGAGAGAGAGAGAGAGAGAGAGAGAGAGAGAGAGAATGACACGAGTATTTATTTAGGAAGTTCACCAATCCTCCTCGCTATGGCTAATCTCCCCCAATTCCATTTTGGAATTGAGAAAATTTCTTACTTATTGCAAAAGTATTCTTTACAAGAGAAATATTGTAATGCACCCCTACAACCCCTATGGTTAATGATGATCCAATAAAATTCCCTTTGGCTTGATGGAGTTAGATCAAGTCTCCAACAACTCCAATTGATTCATCGTCTCATGCTACTAAGTTGAAGGAAAATTGTCTTCAATGTTCACTCGTACGAATCCAATTGCAAGCTTGTTATCACCCAAGATTACCCGAAGATTCACCGTCTCACGCTACTAGGCTTGCAAGAACCACTCTGTTCTTTAAGGTATTCACCCGGTTGAATCTAATATCGACACAATCTTGTTAAAAACCCTCAAAATCTCCACACGATCTTGAGGTAAAAATTCTCGCGGTCTTTCTGGATGAAACCCCCTAGATTCTCAACCCAACCTTAGGTTACAACTAACCTAAATTGAAAGTTATCAATCGAGTCTAGATGACTCCCAAACAATAAATGATTATGTGTATGTTGTTTGTGTGTATACAAGGGTCAAGGTCGAAGATGAAGAGCAATCAAGTAAGTGTTTATAGTTTCATCAAAATGAAAATGATGCATATATATATATATATATATATATATATATATATATATATAGGTGTGAGACTTGGAGTCAAAAGAAAGACCTAGAAACACATAAAAAACCGATTTTTGAAGTTTGGTAAAGGATATGTTGAAACATGTATGTTATGTGTCGACACATGCATGACAGAATTGGACACATCTGTCAACCTGTAGCAGGTCATGAGTTGACACGTACTTCTACAGACTTTCAGGCTTTAAAACAATAACACATGAGTCGATACGAAGCTTGTATGTGTCGGCACATAAAGCAGTTTAAAGGCATATTTCGACACGAACAAGAGGATGATTCGACACAAACTTACAAAGAGTTATTTTCTTTAAAACAACAACACATGTATGGACACGAAACACGTATGTGTCGACACATGCACATGAATTTTGTACAAAAACTAATTTTTCCTTTATGAGACCAATGGATAACTAAATCAAACTTGTTCTATATGCTTCTTAAGGTTTCTAATGACTTCTAATGAAAGGGTGAACACAAATGCTCAGAGATACCGCTTAATGTACAGAAAAGGTAAAATCAATTCCTAGTTTTGACATCATGCAAATCATCTATAAGAGAAATACATCCACAGGCAACACCCCATGTTAAACGGTATTATGTGTAGTATTTATATGTCAATAAGGAACAACGATCAATATGTTCTTACAAGATCAAGATGTTATTTGTGGGATCAAGATATCAAGTAAAATTCAAGGATGACAACACCTAAGCTCAAACGACGTTTGATGAAGTCCTTGATGATCTCTAAGTCCAATAATTTTTGACGATGACGTCTATAAAAGAATCTATATCAAGCCTCATCAGTTAGAAGATTCAAGTCCCGTATAAATATATAAATTAATAATTAATCAAGCAAGATATATTGAAGCTTCAAGGTTGTGAAAGAGATGAAGTGTGAAATATCGCCTAATTTTGTATCTGAGTGATCAGCTTAATATAAAAGTATACGAGTCATTATAAAATTACAGAGGAATCTCACATGCACTAAATATTTTTTAAACACTCTAAACTTTATAAAACATTTGAAAACTTCTGGAAAAACTATCAAGGATTGTGTAGAATTGACCAATGAGTGTTCCTAATCATTCGAAAAGTATTTTTCATTGTCTAATCAATTAAAGACGTGGTCCAACCATTTAGGTAAAGGAAAAATACTCCTTAATTGAGGAGAAATACTCTAAATCGATTAAATCATAAATGTTGTAAGGTTTCCTTTTAGGATTAGGGTTGTTGTTCTTTAAAATCCCTTAATGGATTAACAATTAGGATTAATCAACTAAGTCATTAAAAATGCTCATGAATTATTTCCTTTTTGAGCCACTTATTTTCTTATAAATAAATGGTTTTAATTCAATATTCGAAGATACTTTTCATTACTAGATCTAAGATTTTCATCTACCAGATGCTAAATTTTATTGATAGATTTAGACTTAATATCCGTATGAACTATTGAAGCTTAATGTCATCGTAGTGGCTAATAGGTTGAAAAATTATTTATTAGGCAATACGATTGATCAAATGTTGTTGACTTATACATGAGCTATAATGCTGAGAGATGAATTCTTATATTAATAGATGATTAGAATTGAATATTACTGATGAGGACAAGTCGATGAAATCTAACCCTAACAAATTTTCTCAATTGTCACACTAAAGTTCAATTTATTTTATGTTATTTCAATTTCATAAACAAAAAAAAATTAACAGATCATCCTTAAAATCATATTAACTATTGAACGGTCTTTGAGACACAATCATTCCATATGAATATGATAAAATACACCCACTGTTGTATTACAACACCCCTCTTATGTTTGGAGTCATTTGGTCAACATGTTGCCATCTTTGATAAAACCCCCATCGGATCCTGAAGGATTGTTGAGAGCAATGAGGTTTGAAATGAGTCAATTAACTACTAAAGAGCCAAAATTTTGCATTTTTGGAATTATTAGTTCAGTGCGAGATGAAGCATCACTCACATCACTAGATATGTCAAGAGCATTTGCAAGGTTGTTTCCATATCATCCATGACCAGAACAAGGAAAGGAAAAATATAATAAGTGATAAACAAGAAAAGAAATGGTACATGAAAACACTGGAGCTTGAAGAAAAGATTAAAACAGATAATAGTTTCGAAGGTGCAATGAATTGAGGAAATGCAGGATCCAAACAATGGACCCGGCACGGTAAGTCCAACCTAGTTTTCTGAAAAACTTCTCATTGTTTCAAAACGACAAGTCTTGAGGACAACTCTTCTAGGCCGACCACTAACCAAAAAGGAGGAAGTCCAATCATTAGTCCAAATCACTCCAACAAAGTAACGAAGGTACATTATGACCCTCTTTGGAGCTCTACACGGGATCCATGTCAGGGGCTTTGCCTAGCATTAGATGTCATCGGAAGGCCTCCCACACTCCACATAGAAATGGCAAGGAACATACATAACCGCCATTCATATATACGATGTTCCACGTGAGATATGATATATTCTCTCTAAAGCATAACCCACTTTACTCTTCATTCTCTTACTTACTTAAGCGTTAGAGTCTTAATCTTACAAGTCTACCCACACGCCGTCTGAAGATACATTCCACCATATCAAGACTCCACTTCTCCACTTGAGTATATCTAGTTCCCTTAGCGGAACAATAACTAAATCAAGATTAAACGAAATCAATTATGAGGATCATTTAGAATGCGACATCAATATATAATTAAAATTCTTTGATATTCTACATTTCATGTTCTTTTACTATAGCTAGCTTTCTACATTATAAATAAATACTGTATGTGCAGTGAGACTGACAAAATAATTGAGTTTCTAAGGAGAAAAAGTATGTGCAACATCCGTGCACAACAAACACATGAGATGAGTGTATGTGCAACTTTACTTTAGTCTTACAATTCTCTTTGGCAAGTTCAACCTCTTTGATCAACTTATATGTCATTTTTCAATGTACACAAGAACTAAATAATGCTAACTTCACTTTTCTTTTGCCCTTAAGCCTTTCATGAGTCCTCCATATGGCCCTCGATTGTTTCTTTGCCGTGAACCATTGGATCGATGACATGTGGTTGTGGAAACTCATCATTGATGTTATCATCATTTGCCAATGCTAATGGTTCATTTTTATCTTCTTCAACCACCTCTGTTGATGGAACCTGCGGAGTTTACAAAACAAAGATGCATCATCATGCAAATGTATTTTGATATCTGTAAAGTTGAAAACTACGTAGACATAAATTTTATAGAATCAAAATGTTACTTTGTCATCAGTTAAATCTCTTGATTCTTCTTCATCCATAGTTTCCATCTTATTTATTTCTTTGGTGGATTCTGAAGTAGCCTCTTGGCTAATTTGGTGTGAAGAATTTTCTTCACTACTTTCACCATTGTTTAACTCGTCTCGTTGTTCCATTCTGTTGATTTCTTCATCATTCATGCTCCTATGAATATTTGATTCTTCCATTGAACTCTCCATGTTGATTTCTCCACCCTTCATGTTTCTATAAATATTTAATTCTTCCATTGAACTCTCCGTGTTGATTTCTTCACCATTCATGTTATTTGATTCTTCAATTGAATTCTCCATGTTGATTTCTTCACCATTCATGTTTCTATGAATATTTGATTCTTCCATTGAGCTCTCCATGTTGTTTGTTTGCTCCTGGTCAATATCACACATAACAAACAAATTTAAGCTTAAGTTTTCTTTCTCCCAAACAGGTCCTAAATTAGAAAAGTATACCTGAGAATGATTGAAATCAACATCATGTGATTCATTAGTTATCTCATCCACCAAAGTTTGAAAATTTTGAGCCATGCTGTCATGTGAATGTTCATCTTCATTAAAAGTTTCTTGCGTCATATCCTCGACGATAGATCGTGGAGAACCTATATCCATCTGTTGATTAAAAGACGGAGACGAAACATCATCTGATAGAGTCTTGTCTGGTAAAACAGACCTTGGCGATGACGAAATCGATTCATTAGAGGCTTCATCAAGTGATTCTTGCCTTACAACTGGATGACTATTACCAGGATCTTCACTACTTGCCGAGTTCTCTCTATCACCTTGTTCCGTGGTTGCTAAGTTATTCACATCATCGATAACATGTGACTCATTAATCGAAATCTCTTCCGATATTTGATCCATAGGACTATTTATCAACTGATTCTGAGATAATGTATCGTAAGACGAACGAGAAGATTGAGGAACATCATTTTTCCCCCTAGAAAATTTGGTATAATTACCGAAAACATTATGATCCGAGTTTACAACACAGCAAGTTGGAGTATCTTCAGGTCCTTCATCTCTTGATGAATATGAACTTACATCAGCTGCATCATCTTCTTCATCTATTTGTCGTAAAGAAATCGGCGAAGCAATTTCCTTTAAGCTGTTATTTACATCTTCACTGCTATTATTCTCTTCGGTTTTCACTCCGCCTTTTCCATGGAAAGAAGCTCCCCACAAATCTTCACTGCCAGAACTAACATCTCGGTCAATATCTCCATCATATAACATAGAATCTCTATCTCTATCACTTGATGAATTGGTGTCACCATTATCATCAACAGTCGAAGTTGGCGAACCAATTTCAGAAACTTCCACTTGTAAATCAGAAGCTATGGAGTAAGTTGGTGTATGACAAAGTCGCCGATCGCCTGAGAACATAGTTTCTTGTCTCTTGTCAACGGGCGATGGAACGGTGTCACACATAGATTCGTGTATAGTTTTTGTCTCGTTAAACGAAACTGGTATATTAAGGAGCCTCTCTTGAGACTTGGAAAGCCTTGACGCCAGCCTTGACTCTGGTTTTTGTGAAACACTATTAGTTTCAATGTTTGAGATGTTTGGAGCTCTTGAGGCTGGTTCACTTGTTTGAACTGACATTGTTTTTGTCTCATCTATATCAGTTTTACATTTTTCATCATTTTCCCGTTTTGTTTCGTCGCCTTTGATCAGTGGTTTTGGTGCTTGAATTCCTTTTTCAGCTCCATCATTGTAGATCAATTGCTCAATTAGCCAATCATGATTTCCTTTATCTGCATACAATCATACAATTTATATATACGTGTCACACAAATAACCTCTATAGCACAAATGTCTCTGAAAAAATGTGTGTCGACACAGACACTAATAGTATAACGTGTGAGTGTAACCGTTATGTATGGTGTCTGTGTCCGTGCTTCTTAGTAAAAAACTAATTGTTACCTGGAAGCCTTCCAAATCTTGAGAAACCGTGTTTATCTGAAGATTTCCTCCCATGAAAAGAATGACTTTCTCTAGTTGCATGTTCATGTTTGATATCTGATGAATAATTTGAACCTAAACTAAAACTCTCATGCCTACTAAAAAGCACATCCTTCTGAAAATCATTAAGAAAACCATCACTTGTAAGATTCGGTTTCTCCTCAAAAGGCTCATAAGGAATATCATAAGGACTCCTTGGCATAACAGAAGGAGCAGAACCAGGCATTTCTAAATCATCAATATCACAGCTCTCTCTTTTAACAACCAACGGTCTCATCGAACTCGGCGTCAATGCTTTCTTATCAACCAATCCATTCTCAACTTGCAACTTCAACAATTTATTTGCTCTTCTTCTAGCTATAAGACTCTCAAGCCTTCTATTTCTCTCCATCTCAGAATCTCCAACATCCATGAGATTCTTCTGATCATTTTCTGTCCATTCAATAGTATTATTCTTCACATCCTCTTCCTCGTCCTCCTCCTCCATCTTTTCTATCTCCATTTCCGTGTCACCAGCTTCAACAAGATCAACCATCGAAGGCTCGGATCTTAATGATCTCTTAACCGCTTGATGAGTTCTTCTACCCGATGATAAACCATAATACAAAGAACTCTCTCCTTTCTTAAAAGATCCAATGTTTCTTTTACTACTAGTATATTCATTTTGAAAAACTTCTGATAAATTTTTCGCTTTTTCTTCTAATCCACCATACACATCCCATTTCCTCTCCCTAAAATTTCTCCTTCTACTCGTCGCATTTTGCGACGGATACTTGAAAAGAATTTGTTCATGTCTACCAACAATATTCGGTATCGGTATAGGTATCGGTATCTTTGGTGGTAGAATCTTCGGTTCAACTTTTATTTCTTGCTCATCTTTTTTCTCTTCTATTTTCACATATCTTAGCTGTGTTTTCTCAGAACTCCAAAAGATTCTCAAAAATATTGCACCACATATAAGAAAAGGTGACATGTAACCTACGAATGTGTAAATGTATGAAAGGAAAATATATAAAATAGAAAATAACAATAAAAGACATGAAAATATTGGATGTCTTTGTAGAAACTTGTAAGTAGAATCAACTGAAACATGAAAAATTCTTGACAAATGATGTTGTATGTCTTTTGCATTATATTTTAAACCCATCTTTGTCTTTTTCAATGCTAGCACAAAGAAGAAACTATAAATCCTTTCAAGCTTATGGTAAAAAAAAACTCAAATGGTCCACATTTTGTTCATTACTAGATAGATTTAAACTAGTGGGGGAAAAGTGGTATATGTGAGCAAATGTTCATAGAAAATGTGGATTGTTGTGCCAAGGAAAAAAGGTATGAAGACTTAGAATTGGCTTAGGAGAAGAATGATGGATAACAAAAAAAATGCAACATTGTGTGATTTGGTAAAAGTGTGTGACCTAGAAAATTGAAAAAACTATAGGAGTGAAGAGAAAAACAAGGTGGATTTTCAATAAAGTGGTGGATAGCAATAAAGGTGTTTTGTGAACCATCAATTTCGTTTTTCTTTTTTAAGGAAACATTTTTGTTTGGGTTGAAAATTTCATAGATCCTCTTATTTAGGAGATTTACTATGCACATAGGTGAAAATTGTTTTTAGATGTAAAATAGATTAACTCTTTGAAAATGTTTTAATATCTGGACTGGAGATTGAACCGGTGAAACTTTCAGTTTAAGATTTAATTAATTTAATCGATTAAACTAACATCATATTGTTTATTAAATAAATTAATAATACGAAGTTAAATTTCATAAATATGTTATAAATAATTGTATGTTTACAACTTAATAAAATAAATATTTTAAAAATCTATTATAAACTTAATACAACAATATTTATAGTACATATAATAACACAATATAGTTATACACTTCATTTCAACTTTTCTTTGAAAATAATTTGAATAAATTAAAAAATTACAATAAAATAAGTTAAACTAATTCAAACCAAAATTAAATAGTTAAGAATATAAAAATTAAATAAGATAGAATATCCAAAATAAACAATACATTTAAATAATTAAACAACAAAAAGCAAATTCGAGTAGAACTACGATAAAGTCATAATTGACAATAATAAATAATATTAACTTGAACAACAATCAATATTGAGTTGGACAACGTGACTATGTTTTTAAAAGAGACTGAGTGATGACGATTGAGTGTGATTGAAAGAAAAACTATAATAAAGTTTGTATATTTGTAAAAAGAAAAGAGATTTTTATTCCGTGATTGAGAAATGTATGTTAAGTTTTGATATTGATATATTAGATTTTTAATTTTTTATAAAATGATCAATTTGATGCATTTTTTAATCGGATAATTTTATAAAATTGACTCTGATTCTTTAATTGAAATAATTTTGAACGGTTCAATTCAATTTTTTAATTTTACTCTGATTTTAAAAAATTAATTCAACCGAATTCATCTTCAATTCTCTAATCGATAGAACTAGCCAATTTGATTAATATTTTTAAACATTGCTCTATGATGACCAGAGATCAAATGTAATTGATCTAAATTGTAATTATAATTTAATTTATGAGAACCCAATTTGAAATCTTAGTGGGAAGTTGGAATAATCCTTACTCAAACCTTATTTACATTTCAACATAATTCTAGATGAGTAGATCTCATTCCGTTAGACAAAGTAATTAAATATTATTTAATTTTTTCTTGTATTTTATTTTATTTTATAAAGAAAATAGTTTGAATTTTTTCTCTCATGATTTATTGAATTTTCCTTATCATAATTTCTTCTATTTTCGAGTGTAATTAAAATAGATTAAGTTTTTTTTTTAATTGTTACTTTTATTTTTTTATTATATTATACATTTTAATCTAGAATTATTTTATTAAAATTAAGGAATTTCTTAACCCACTCTATAAGGTGGAAAAGAATTCTATAGAAAATCGAAAATGCCTCTCAATTTTCGAAAATACATTTTTGAATGCACCATTTGTATCACATGCCCGCGAGTAAAAATGGTTTCATCCTACAGTAAAAAAAATATTTTCAGAGATACATCGCTATGGAATAGTATCCAACATATTTTCAGTTGACCATTCCAGGGAGTTATACCGAGATGCATCTCCGAACAGTTAAAGCGAGAATTTGCAAATCTGTTTTTGCATGTCAGATTATTCTAAAGATGCATCTCCGAAAAAATCAAATGTGTTATTTCTAAAAACAGTCACCTGCATAATCAGAACTCATATCCATTTTTTCCCCATAAATCCGTTCCAAAAACTCTTCCATTTTCAATCAAGATTTTCACTCCAAAACTTCATTCTAATATTTCATCAAATCAAAAGGAGCAAAAGAAATTAGAATTCAAGGTAAAGTACATTTATTCCAAGCCTCATTGATCACATTAATCCAATTATTAAGATGAAAAAAGTTACATTGTATTAGAAAATGTATTTTCGAATTCTTTATGAATTCATCCAGAGATGCATTTCCGGAGGCTGTCTGTTCTGATTTTCTAGCAATCTGTTTTTTGTTTTATATGTTCTTGAGTATTCTATGTTTTAGTTTTCATTAAAAATGGTGCATCCCGATGTTTTCCACACACCTATTGTGTCTCTAGATGCCACACATGTAGTTGTGAAAGAGGTAGATGTTGGCAACTAATTTAAAAAATGAACAAGAGTTTGACTTTCGTGATCATATGCTTCAATGGGTTTGTACAGAGGCATCTAAACTGGGGTTTGGTGTTGTAATTAAAAGGTAAAATGGTTCAGATAGAACAGATGCATTTGTGACATTGACATACGAAAGAAGTGGGAAATGTGAAACCTTGTTTTATAGGTAATAAAGATCGACATTTGAAGTTTTGATGACGGTAATGCATGAAGACCTATATGAGATTGCAAAAGAGGACTCAAGATAAAAGTGCCAATACAATCAGATACTATCTAGCAAGAAGTCTTGAAGCCTCTTTGGAAAAGGTGTGAAATCTCTCCAGGTCTTGTCTGTCGGTCTGTCTGAGTGAGCTGAGTACTGTAAAAATAAGGTAGTAACTTAAGAGTACTAAGGCAACTCACACACACACAAATCTTTTTAGAAAGTAAAATTACCCTAAAGTTGTACCAAATAACCTAAGAGTCAGAGAAATGAATTAAAGGCGAAACTTGGCCCTTTTTAATTGGTTGTCTATTTGGTTAGATTAGTCTAAACTTGCGCACCAAGACATGAGATCAGCGTCTTAAATATGTACAATGACTCTATATCTAAACCTTCCTTTTTGGGCATCATAACGGTCATATTTGGATTATTTAATCGATTAACTTAATACATTAAATAGTTAATGTAGCCCATGGATCATTTTCTTTCTTGGTGATTTCAACTACTATATACAAGATTGATTCTGACACTTGAAATCACGCCACTTTCCAACACTTTCATATTTGTTTGAAATTTATCTCTCTACTTTTCTCCTTGTCTCACTAAATACCTATTCAATTCACTTATGGGCGCCTTAGTGCTTTGGAGTGAAATTTTACTTGTAAGGAGAATATTTTTGTAAGTGGTCATGCCGGTCATTTTTAGTCTTAAAGGTGTGATACCTTGAAGAGATTGAGTTTTAGTTTTTGAGATAAACCATATATCTATATTACCGGTTTATTAAGCTTCGCTGGAAAAAGATTTGTTTTTGTTAAAGAGATCAACCACAAACCTCTAACAGTCTCGATAGAATAATTTGGGATAAAATCCATCTAGAAGTTTGGATAAGCTTGTTTAAACTCAAGTATCATATTGTATTAAGGTTCGTGGGCATAACCGATAAAAATTAACAAGTCTATAGTGAAAATATCAAGAAGAACTCTTGGGGACAAGACTAGGCCAACGTTCGGCCAAAACTGGATAATTATCTAGTGTAATCTTTCTATCCTTAATCTCTTTACTTTTCTAGAATTTATTTTATTTACTTTATATCCGCTACATTAAATTACTCAAAAACATTACTAAAGCGATCTTAATCGAGAAAGGGAAAACTAATCACCATTTTCAAATACCACAATTCACCTCCCTCTTGTGCTTGAGATCACTTGTTCAACAAGTGAAATCAGAGCCTAACTCATGTTAAGGACTAATCGCCTCAGGAGGAAAGATGATTTCAAGCTATTCACAAAGAAAATCCTCATTCTTTAATGGAAAATGGTATAGTTTGTGGAAAAAGAAAATAGAGTTTTTCATAGAAGGGATAGATGGCGGTATTTGGAAGACTGTGAATGAAGTTCCATTTGTTCTTACACATATAGTTAATGGTGTTGTAGTAAAAAATAGAAAAGGATTGTACCAAATATGATAAAGAAAATGTGGAGCCCAGTTTGAAAGAAAAATTTGTCATCACTATCGCTCTCAGACTTGATGAGTTTTTGTGAGTTTCTCACTGCAAAACTGCAAAAGAAATGCAAGACATCCTCCAAATCATCCATGAAGATACCACTGAGGTGAAAAGGGCAAGGCTGGACACATTAAACCATGAGTATGAACTCTTTAGAATAAAATCTGAATAGAGCATTAATCAGATGCAAACACGACTTACCCATATCGTAAGTCATATGAGAACTCTAGGAAAAACATTTTCAGATGAATAATTAGTTATAAAGATTCTTAGATGCATGAACCGTAATTGGAAACCTAAAGTCACTATGATTGTTGAATCTAATAATTTAGCAACCATGGACTCACACATTCTCTTTGGTAAATTGTAGGAACGTGAGATGGAGCTAAAGAGACTTGCTGATGATGAAAAAGATAACAAAATGAATAGTAAAAGTATTGCGCTTAAAGCTACCAAGATTGAAAATATGGAATTATAAGATGAAGACGATCAAAGTGAGATTAATAAATTCATGAAGTTCTTGTTTAAAAAATTCAAGGAGTTCTTATGGAACGAAAAACAAACTTCAAGAATCCAGAAGAAAAATAAAGAAAGTTCATCATCCATCCCTACATGCCATTAATGCGGAGAGAAATGGCATATAAGACCAAATTGCTCTCGAAACTCGAGAAGAAACCAAAATCAAAGAAAAAAAATCAAAAGAAGAATAAGAGGGCATATGTTGCACGGGAAGATAATGATGGGGAATCCTCAGATGATGAAAAAGACAATGTATGTTTTA